ATTCCTCCCTCTATTATGGCCTTGGTATAAAAGGGCATGGCATCCTCGGCCCCGTGGGTAGAAGAGTGTACCACCGGGTCATAATCCTCTACATCTACGCACGGGGGGATGCCGTACTTGACCTTAAATCTATCAATCTGCCCACCACCCTTTACTTTANCGTACTTGACCTTAAACCTATCAATCTGCTCACCTCCCTTTACTTTATATTTCCCCGACCCCGAAGAACCAGCCTGAGGATTCTCAGGAGCAGGGCGACGACGAGGCATCTCTAAAATAAATGAGAAAGAAGAGGGTGTTTGTTCTTAAAAATTTCTGAGGGAGTTTCCCGAAGGTTAATCGCTATGTATCAACCGGAGGCACCTCCAGTCATCGGAAAACAAAAGGATAGGAGGAAGAAAAGAAGGAAGATACTGGAACTCACCCGAATGTCAAAACGGAGATTTTTCTGGAAAACCTTAAAGCGACTCCTTCCAGAAAGTTCAGAAGCAACGATGGGTCTGCTGGCTTTAAGACTTTAAGGAAGAATGGGCAATCGACGATGGAAGAAGAAAGAAATCTCCGGCGAAGATTCAGGAAGAGGCTCTTTTAAGGAAGTTTGGAATGGCAAAACGAGGAAAACGGAAGAGGAGCCCCCTTTATATAGAGGCAATTTTCATCATTGGGCGCGAAAAACGAAACGGCGCATTTAATGCGCACGACATCCCAAGCCGGGGAAAGCGGCTCGAGGCAATGATGAAGCACTGGTGGTTGTTGGGAAACCCTTCGTCTCCTTACGACGCGTGTCCTCGGTGTCAGAAGATCGAAGGCTGGGGGGCAGTTGATGGGACTTTTCTGAAATACTCTATGATGAAGACACGTGTCCTCGGTATTACTAAAACACTGTTGCTAAGATCAAGCACCATCGGCGCACAAAGGTCCTCGCCCCCGAGGTACTCGTCATATAGGATCATGGAATTCAGTACGTTTTACAACCGATACGTAGCCTCGGCTTGATATGGTACCTCGGTCGGTATACCTCCCTCGGTTCCGAGATAAGCCTTTCCTCGGTGCCGAGAGGTACCCCGTCCTGGACGCTTCCTCTACTCCAGGATAAGCTATTGACGTACAGGTCATTAGCCTAGGCTAGTCTAGGCTATTCATCATGACCTCGTCTTACACAATTAGTGTCAGAACGTACTGGAATGCAGGGGCCACAGCCAATGGGGGATGGACGCGTGGCATATGATATCACATCAAAGACAGAAAAGCCGCATGCCGTTGCTGACACGCGACTTGGGAAAGCAAACTATTAATTACACCATTCCCTTGATGAGACCGCATTCAATGCGGTAAGGCTCGGAAATGAAAAACAATAAATGCTCCTAATACATGGCATTTATTGCATCCTCCTCGAGAGTAGTACATTGTACCGTCGGCATCCCGATGAACCAGCATTGATCGCTCGGGACCCCGAGCAGTTAAGAAGAGAAGACATTCCTCATCAGAATCAGTGCACACACTGCCTGTACCTAATGATCATCTACTGACTACACTGACAGCAATCATGAGCTTTTGAGGTATAAATACTCCTTGCAAAAGGCGAGACTGGTATGCAACAAAAAACTCTTTACTACAATACTCGCTCAGTGTTTTCTCCTTCCTCTCTCTTTCTAAAAGACTGACTAGATCGTCGGAGGGGATACGCAGGAAAACACTTCGGCGCCCTTCTAACTTGTTCTTCTTTGTTCCAGGAACCTCTTTCAGCCTTACTGGATCGTTCTTCCGTTCCCAGGGTCTCCTATTGCCGTTCCAGGTTACCACCGGACCTCGCAGGCTGTTCCAAGCAGCGTGTGTTGGTCACTCAACCGGCTCACTCGAAGTTTATCAAGGGAGAGATCTGTTCTCGTTTTTTATATTGTGCAGGATCTTGCACGCACACTTTTCATCTCCCTTGTCGGATCCACAAAACAAGTGGGGGACAAGTTATGGATTATTAGTTAGAAGTTGCACGAAATGATGCCAATTTTACACATGAGTTGATGTAATCCAGCATCAAACTTTGAACATTCATGCTTTTTAAAAAGGCACACAATCCACTGTTTGACATAGTGCTGTTCGACCCAACAAAAGATGTAATTTTGCGCATGGACTACACATAATTAACAAATACGATGATTTCTATAAACATAATGAATACTAGAAGACAAAAATTTTAAAAAATAAATAAAAAATAATCTCGTATTCCTCGTACAAAAATGAAAAAAGGGGTATCGTCCAAGCCTTTAACAGTTCTCCTTGAAATGATGGTCCAAGTCAATTATGTTTCACTAAATCATATTTTACCCCTAAAAGATATAAAAAATTTTAATTTATCCTCTGAATGATTAATTTTTTTATATTATTATTTTAAAGAAATAAAAATATTGTAATGCGATCCACCGTTTTATATTCGTTTAATATATCGTTTGTTTTGTAATTTTTGATCGGTTGATTTGATATAAAACAAATGGACAATCAAAAGAAAATAAGACAGTATACTATTTTACAATATTTTTATTTCCTTAAGGGTGTAATTAGAGAAAATTACTCATTCAGGGAACAAATTGAAATTTTTTTATACATTTAAGAGGGGAAAATAGAATTTTTTCTTTTTGTTTTGCCAAATGTCCTTATCTTGTTTTTTTTTTTCAGAGTCATATTTACACAACTAGCGAAGTAAAAACGTGGGTACTATCTACGGCTATACGCGAGAAGTGATAGTTTGTTTTATTTTTGTTTTTGAAAATGATTGATTCTTTAACCGTGAAAACCTTCTGGCTTTGACCATATATCATTCATGCAACATTTTTTTCAACTAGCTAGCGAAGCCTAAGACATGTTTGAAATAGTAAATAACTATCAGTTCGCTCTTTGTGATGTACGGAATATATAACTTGTCATCTCTTTTTTAATTTTTATTTTTCATTATCTTTATTTGATCTCCATCACTTAAAAATTAAAGAAATGATAAATAATTATCTGAAGACATAGGATGATAATCGTATTTTTTTTAAATAAATTCAAATTAAAGGTGGTTAATTAATGGAGAGTATATGTGTAGTTAACAAAAATACTCAATTAATTGTGATTGGAGGTTTTTTAATTAATAATTCTAAATTAAGCCCATAATCACAGCAGGCACCAAACAAATTTAAGAATAAGAGATTTTCAATCTCTGAATTCTCTCTCATCACCAACCTCTACTCATTTTTGAAGATTTTACCATTAGAGTCAACAAAATTCATCGCGATCTGATTAACTGATATGAATTGACGCAAAATTAGTAAATTTGTCTTACCCGCATAATAAATGAGTCATATTTATGTGGAGTACTTTAACTTATTTATCATCTAATTATCGTTTAATAACTTGATATATTACTCGATTATCCATTTACTACACGATTACCTATTCATCATCTGATTATTTGTGTATCACCCGATTGCTCATTTAATATATGACCCAATTTGTTGTAAAATTAGGCTATTAATTAAGATTTTTTATATTGTATAATTAGAGAATAACACGAGTCGTGTCGTTTAATAAACGAATTGTAATCGATTTTATAATTTACATGTGTTTAATAAGTGAAAAGTATACTGGTTAAGTAGTTCCTTAGCACGAACTTATCACAACATGATTATTAGGCCTAAATCATACTACCCATGTCGTACATGGAACAACAAAATAACGCAGTGTAATTCAGAACAAGTGCTTGTAGACCTTATTATTACAATCACTTTGCTTCGTCCATCANGTAATTCAGAACAAGTGCTTGTAGACCTTATTATTACAATCACTTTGCTTCGTCCATCAACAAACCCTAATAGAAGACGAGCTCTGCTGCATTTTATTCTGGAAAAATGAATCCTCATCAAATCGTATAGTAGGTTCGTTAATTCTTCCATATGTTAACTTGAAGGCCAAACATAAAAAGTTGATGTAGATTTAAGTCTAATTTTTAAACACGAGTTTCACTTATTTGGTTATTTGTTATCGGTTTAGCTCACCCATTCACTTGTGACATGGAGGTCTCTAATTTGATTCTCCTCCCCAAACTCCCTTA